AAGCTCATCGAGATTTTCAGTAGCGGCGAAACTACGCTTCTCCTCGATACCACCAGACCCGTGGGAAAGCAGCACGTCTGTATCAGATCTCAGTGAGCTTCATGCACAGCTCTCACCTTGTTGAAGTACGAGTTTGCAATTGGAATTTCAAGGATTACCTTGGTAGCATTCGATACAACAGAACATCACTCTTCTTTTGTTCCTCTGCTAACTGTTTTGTTCTCTCTTCGACCTCCCCCTCCAATGTGGATGCGTATTCTTCGAGCATATTGAAAACGTAGTCCATGAGGTTCTGACTTCTAAAAAAGCATCAGCCGTAAGCATCAAATGTGTTCAAAAATATCGCTAGGTGCAGTACTTATTTGAATTCATGCTCTTCAAATTCGACTTCACCATATTTATTGAAGGTCTTTCAGAAGGGCGTTCCGTCCAACAGTCACGAATAAGGTGGAGCTGAAAAAAGAAAAAATGACTGGTATACACATAGCATTCCTTCGTGGGTTGTTAGTGTATTTCCTGTTAGCTACCATGCTGACCTCTAAACTGCTTCCATCTAACGATGTTCTTTGTTCGCCCAAATTGCTTCCCGAGAACAAGTACGGAGAACATAGTTCGCCGGACGATTCGCTGATGCCACGGGCTTGGCATCAGCGAATCGTCCGGCCGTCTACGTTGCGTTTAGCCCTGGCAATTGAAAATTTTGTAGGGCATCCCCTAGTTCTCGATTCCCTAACGAATAGCAAATTATGGGCTTGAACCCAGAATGACCATGAAAAATCTTGAAGAGCGTTATCAAATCAAATTTCCTCCTTCTGAGCGCTAAAGTTTCAAGATTGAGATTAGCATTCCGTGTTACTCCAGAAGGGATCTGATCATATTTGAAACCGATCACTCTCAGGAAAAGTTTTCGAGTAAAAGTATTTTGAACCCTCTCCAACGTGTTGATAACTTTCACTTTGTGCGGATTAAATATGACGGTCCCATATTCTAATAGAGGTCTAACGTAGGTTGCGTAAGCTCTGAGGAGCACATGAGAGTCCTTAGTTGTCAAAGCTCTGAACAGGTTGAATGTGAGAGCTGTTGCTTTGGAGGCTATCCTAGAACAGTGTTCGTCGAAGCAAATGAGGCAAAGGATGAAAGACGCATGTATAACAAATGCAATCCAATGTTTAGGTCTTTTCATGAGTTTGAGAATTCGATAGTTTGGAATGAATTGCACGTAAGTCTCAAGCAAACTCACCAAAGCAGGGTTGTCTCGAACTCATCCTTGTCGCCAAGAGAAGGACGTTCCTGATTATGCCCTCCTTTCTTAACCAAGTAGAGTATTTCTAGAACAGTAAAAATAAGTCAATAGGAAAGGCTTCCAGTAATGCTATTATTAACAAGATATAGTCAACTACCAAGCTAAGCTATGAGTCGGCGTGCAACTGGATGGACTAGACCAGTTTTTTGATTAGCTTCCGTACATTGATAATCAGCGTTAGCAATACAGCGCACAGCGTACTCACCTACAACCATAATATTGGTGACACCTAGGGTCCCTCAAAACACTAAAAATCATCGCCCGATAACAGCAATTGGTATCTCGAGCACAAAACATACCAAATCGGGCGACTTTCGAATGAAGCATTAGAGGGCAGCAGTGAGCACATCTTTGATTCTTGCAGCCGTCGCAGGAAGCCTGCACTCATTACACGTTAGCGGCGGTAGGCTGAATAAGTGCTGTCAAGCCAAGCGGACGTCACACAGTGGCAGCTCGCAGAAAAGCCATTCAAAAAACAGTCAAACGCGGGCTACTGCGAGGGACACAGGGCTGCCTGTTTATCCCTAATTCTAGATTTCACCACTGCCCCATAGCTAAACGCCAAATGACTCGACGCTGAGTTATATGCTCTTTTTCGGCAGCTGTTGGCGCGGCTGCTTGACAGAAACACCAGCAGAGCGGAAATTTTTTTATTACCCATTACCATTCTTGTACGACGCCTGTGCACATGTTTCGAGCTGTGTCGCCTAAAAATTATCGAACTCGTATGGGATGCTTTGCCAGATCTAGCCCATCCGTTTGCCGTCCGACATGTGCGCTTGTGCACTACCTGCGCAAGAAAGAGCTCAGCGATCACTAGGGATTTCGAAAAAGGAACTCCAACTTGCTTTTACTCAAGTTCCAGCCCCCAAAGTGCACTACACTACGAAATCAAAATCTGCGCATTGCGGGCCGCGTGTAGGGGATATACAGGGGGGGGGCAAAAAAAAAAGACATTTTGCCTCCACTTCCAGATGGATTTAAGCACATTTTACTCAACTCAGACCGAACGGTTCCAACTTATTATTAAAGAGTGCATTCCATTCTATAAGAAAATCTTCATAGTGGCCACGTACGTGGACGGCATCAGAAGAATTAGCCCTGGAAACATGGTGCACTGGTCGATCTCAATGGGGTCTTCGAAGGATCGTGTACCATAACGACCCTTACTGGAAAGCTAGTTCCGAGGGGATTTGCACAGTGGTAGCTAATGCCTCTAGAAAACTATCCAACATTAAATCGATTCACGAAATTGCGTAAGAGCTTCAGGCTGAAGCTCTTACGGTAGACCTCCTTGAGCCTGACGACGGTGACAGATGACGTCATATTCTGAAGACGGTGAGGGCAGTGAAGGAGAGCCTGCGTACACTAATAGAGGAACACTTAGGGAATACTCTGCTGAGGAACTCCCGTCAACGACAGCAATCTCTGCGAAGAAAAAAGAGCCGAAGTCCGACATAGGCAAAATGTCTTTTTTTTTTGGCCCCCCCCTGTATAGTAACATATCATCGCATAACTTAAGATTTCATTATAACCAAAAGGATGCCTTTTGAAAGAAAGGATTTGGCGGATGAAGCAATGGCGGTCGTTTTTATGAACATCAGAGGTCTTTTCATGCATGCAAGACCTCTTCCTTAAGTTCAGATTACCAACCTGTGGATCAGTCTTTATCCTAGAAAGCACATCAAAAAGGTCCTGCTCTATTTGAGAGACCCTGTGGTAACTATTTTAGGTTCCGTTTTCTTAAATCATTCTGACCATATTCACAAGTAGAAGAAGTAAAGTATAAGGTCGAATTTCCAAACCTGCAGCATCTTCTGTACGATTATCTAAATCCCATGCAGACGTTTTCGTAACCAACTGACCGCAAATGATACCGAAGCTGAAAGCTTGAAGATGTATAAATCGAGGATGCCAGAATTCTGCATATTTTTTCATCATCTCCAATTGAGGGGGATCCTTTTTGGTAGTAACCTACTTCACTATAATTCGCTTCGTCTGTCGTCTATTTGTTAAGAAATTCGGTATTACCTCGGAAACCAGCTGGAGAGCTTGGGACAAGTTTGGAATGGTGGACCAAGAACCAAAAAATACAATACCCACGTCAGCTGAGCGGAGCCCCGTCCAAGGCAGACGAAACCTTCGCCGAAACGAGCGGTGTCAAGGGCACCAAATTACTAATTTATTTCGGGAACAGCTCCAAGACTAAGAAAAATGAGTAATGGGCACTCGGTTGCGAGGTCATACTAGGGAAACCCATCCGTGGTGGGCGGAGCGTTCGTCGGATGGGCGGACGAAGGCTCCGCCCACCACGGATGGGCGGCGCGGCAGAATTCGGTGTATTCATCACCAGAATCAACGACGACGTTGAGAAAAATTCTATAGGTTTGAGGAGCTCCTCCCTTCTGGCGAGTCTTGACCACAAGTGAGGGGACCTCACGTCAACAATTAGTGCCGTGAATTTTGCCTCATAATAGAGTCGAAGATGACAGGTGTGGCACTGCTCAAGGTTTTATCATTACTAGCTTATTTCCGACAGAAAAACTTCATGAATGCTTTGCAAACGATAACGAAGTGTTTCCTATAATCTAGAATCCTTCTCTAGAAAGGTTACGCATGAACCAAAAAAGCCGCTCCTTGCTCCACAGGTGAGTGTAATCCACTGGAAAGGTGGCACATGAGGAATATACCTATGTGTGTACGGTTTTTGCCTTTACTCAAGGGATTCGGTAAGCACAGGGCAACTGGCGATACAAGAAAATGATGCTATTTTAGGCACGCGTGAATATTGTTTTCCCCTACTCACGGAATACTACTTTCTTCATGAAGTGAGCATGCACGACCACCTACCTGTAGATGTCGGCTTCTTTCGAACCAATCATTTCGTCCTTGCGCAGAACCTCTGGTGCGGTCCACAATAAGTCTGAATGTGTTGGATGAAACTCAACTTGTTACAGTAAAACAAAAAATTAACTGCTCTAAGTTTAAGCAGTCAGCATCACTGCTTGAACGGAAAATATTAGCCTTTAACATACATGTTGCGGCGCTATCGCAAGATACAGGGGCATTGTGGTAGCAGAGCGTATAAGATCGCGCAAAACAGTTCCCTTTTATCAAAGGACTACCATAAGCCTTGAGCAGGGAAGGACAGAACCAGGGTGCGTGAGCGATTTTCATTTTCCAAAGTTCCTGCCCCTCTTAGGTTTAGTCACTAGAAATGCGCGTATATTGCGAAGTAGCACGTCTTGCTTGACTGCGTATTGAAGTCGAGGTTTTCGTGTAATAAGTAGAAAATTCCCTGAGTTATTTTTTGGAAACTGACCTTGAGGAAGACGCTTGTCATACACTCGCATTTTCCTCAGGCCATAGTCGGATATCTTCGCCTGCCATCGGTCTCCTGAGACAAATTTAGTGTTAGCGAACATGAAAACTCCAAGAACGAGTGATGATAATGAACAACCCTGGAAGGACACCTCTGTGACACTTGTCAGATCTCTATTGAAAAGGAAATGTGTGTGAACTACCAGATCAGTTATATCTCAGTGTTTTTTTTCAATTCTTTCAAAAAAGTATTATGTCTACAGGAAAATATGTTCATGCAAGTGTGTCTGTAAAATCGGTGATTATGGAATGACTAAATCTTATGAAACTTTATAGGAAGTGCTTTGGAGGTCAACTCCCTTGTCCTCAGGGATGATAGCCTTCGGGTTCGTTATTTAAAGGAGGATTGCACGGAAAGAACGAAGGTCGAAGAAGGGAGAAATCGCCTAGTGGGGAGAGCGGTGAATCTCTTGAGGGTGCGGACAGACACGCAATCGGCATCGAAAGATTTGACCTCTGAGATCTAGCATGGCTCAAAGTTGGCGAGTTCGGCGATCTCCGCCCACCGATCGTCTGATCACTCGCCGTAGTACAATAGGTGGCGAGTGATTAGATAGCTGAGAGAGCGTAGGGTTGAAGAGGGCAAAGCGATGAGAGTCCCATCAATGCTCAAATCAACGGACAAGGAAGGGGTCCCATTTCTCCGGTTCTGGGCCGTTTTTCGTGGTTTCGCTTTCTTTCTGGTACTACTCACCATCTCTACCTCAATTTGGAATGGGTTGCTTTTCCATCGTAAATTCGTCCTTTAAGTGAGTAGAAATCACTTAGATGGGGATAAGAGGCAAATCCCCTCTTTTTGACAACCTTGTGACCCGAGCATTATATCTTCTCCACACAAGCAATTGATTGAATTTTAAGATTTGTTTACTATGTTGTTCGAATTTTTATTTATATATTTTTCCAATCGTGTCAATCATT